TATTTATCCGATTTTACAATTTCCCCATTTTTTCAATTTTCCGATTTTTCAACTTATTTAAGACATCAAACTTCACCATGCAGAAAAACAGGATTGAATTAGGCGTCAGAGTGCGAAAAAAATTGGAGTCAGTGTTAAACGTTGACATTGCACACAACGAACGAAAGTAAATTTAAGTGGTTTGTAAAAATTTATTTATCATTATTAAAAAAAAATCTCATTAAAGCCTACTGAAATGCATGTTCTTGTACGAATTTACAGAAACATGTTTCCAGACCTTTTCTTTCTATGACTGTAGGTGGTGGATTTTATACATCGTATTTGTTGAAATGTATTTTTTAATGAAGGAGAAGCAGAATCGAAATTAAAATTTAATTGAAACAAACTTTACCATAAGAAAGAGAACAGGCAACCGTTAATACGAAAAAATGGTCCCAGAAAATTAAACGATTTTTGGTTTAGTTGTTGCTAAAAAAACATTCTGCAGTGATAACACAAGCTTGTTAATAGATAAGTATTGAAATTTGTACATTTGTGTTGTTGTTGTTCGACTGTGAATAATCAGTAATCACCCAATTATGCATAGTGTATTTTTAATTTCCGCAACCAATCACAAAAAAGCACATTCGTGTCGAATTCAAACTGGCGTAAATTCGAGTGTTATTGCCTTCAACGTGTTTATTTATATTGTGACTAAGCATTTTTTATTGCTACCGATTTACGGTTTCTCGTTTTTTTATTTTTTCGATTTTTAAACTTTCGAATTTTTCAGTTTTTTGATTTTTTAAGTCCTACATATTTCAGGTTTTTCAGTTTTCCCATTTTTCGATTTTTTCATGATCTGTTACAAATTTTCAATTTTATAATTTGTCCTTTTATTACTTTTTTGATTTTTCAATTTTTAGATATTTTAATTTTTCAATTTTTCAATTTTATAATTTTTCGAGGTTTAATCCTTCAAGATTTTAATTTTTCAATTTACCAATCTCGATTTTTTCAAATTTTGATTTTCTAAATTTTAATTTTTTCGATTTTTTAATGTTTTGTTTTTTCAATATTTGATTTTTGAATTATTCGAATTTTTAGTTTGTTTCTTACTTAAATTTTTCGATTTTTCGTTATTTTGATTTATCAGTTTCCAGATTTTTTATTTTGATTTTTCAACTTTGGAATTTTTCGATTTTTCAGTTTTCAATTCTTCAATGTTTCAATAATTACTTCAATTTTATTTTTGATTTTCCAATTTGGTCAGGATTCAGTTTTATTTAATTTATACTTAGATTTTACAATTTTTCGTTTTTTCAATTTTGAAGTTTTTCGAATATTGAGTTTTGCAGTTTTTCAATTTTCAATCTATCGATTTTTAATTTTTCAATCTTGCGATGTTTCAGTGTTATAGTCTTTCTTTTTTCGGTTTTTCAGTTTTTTTTTTTCAAATGTGCGATTTTTTTACTTTTAAACTTTTTATATTTAATGTTTCTCCTTTTCAATGTTTCGTTTTTTAGGTTTTGATTTTTCAATTTCTTCATTACCCAATTTTTAATTTATTTTTAGTTTTTCGATTTGTAGTTTTCCAATTTTTGATTTTTGGAATTTTAACTCTTCAATTTATCTGATTTTTCGTTTTTTCAAAATTTCGATTTTACGGTCATCTTCTGATTTTTCAATTTCTCTATTTTTTTCAATTTTACCATTTTTCACTGCTCTGATTTTTTAGTTTCCCGATTTTTATTTTTGGATTTTTTAACTTTTGAATTTTTTGTTTTTTCAGTTCTCAATTGTTTAATTTTTTCTATTTTATGATTTGCCGATTTTTCATTTTCTCTACTTTTAATTTTCCAATTTGTCGGATTTTACAAATTTTGAATTTCTAAATATTTAAATTTTTCGGTTTTTCCGTTTTCCGATTTTTCAATTTCTCTATTTTCTCAATTTTTAAAATTTTAATTCTTTCGAATTATTTTCAATATTTGATTTTCCAGTTACCCAAATTTTCAGTTGCTCTGTCATTAAAATTTTTCGATTTTCGTAGTTTCGATTTTTCAGTTTCCCGATTTTTATTTTTGGATTTTTCAATTTTTTGAATTTTTCGATTGTTCAGTTTTCAATTTCTTCAATTTTACGATTTGTCGATTTTTCAATTCTCGATTTTTAATTTTCCAATTTGTTCATGATTCAATGCTATAATTTTTCGATTCAGTTTTGAAGTTTTTCGAATATTAATTAGTCTTACAGTTTTTCAGTTTTCAGTTTCTCAGTTTTCAGTTTCTCAGTTTTCAGTTTCTCAGTTTTCAGTTTCTCAGTTTTCAGTTTCTCAGTTTTCAGTTTCTCAGTTTTCAGTTTCTCAGTTTTCAGTTTCTCAGTTTTCAGTTTCTCAGTTTTCAGTTTCTCAATTTTTAATTTTTCAATTTTGCGATGTTTCAATGTTGGTTTTTCTTTTTTCCGATTTTTCAATTTTTGCATTTTTCAAATTTTCTATTTTCAACTTTTAAATGTTCGTATTTAATGTTTGTCTTTTTCAATGTTTCATTTTTCAGTTTACGTTTTTTCAATTTTTTGCTGCTTCACTGTTTTGATTCTTCAGTTCCCCGGTTTTTATTTTTGGATTTTTTAATTTTTGAATTTTTCCATTTTTCAGTTTTCATTTTTAAAATTTTTTCAATTTTATGATTTGTCCATTTTTCATTTTCTCAATTTCTGTACTTTCTCAATTTTTCAATTTTAAATTTTTCGACTTTTCAATATTAGTTTTTTTGAGTTACCCAGATTTTCAGTTGCTCTATTATTTAAATTTTTCGATTTTTCACAATTTTGATTTTTCGGTTCTCGATTTTTAGTTTTCTAATTTGTTCATGATTCAATGTTATAATTTTTCGATTTTGCAATTTCTCATTTTTTCACTGTTCTGATTTTTTAGTTTCCCATTTTTGATTTTCAATTTTTAATTTTCCAATTTTTTGAAAATTTTTTTAGATTTCCTTATGCTTAATTTTTTAATCTTTCGATGTGTAAATGTTGCAATTTTTCGTTTTTCTGATTTTCTGATTTTTCAGTTTTTGATTTTTCAATTATCCGATTTTAAATTTCTGTTTTTTCAATTTTCTATTTTTAAATTTTTTCGAATTATCAGTTCTGCCTTTTATTATTTTTGGATTTTTGAACTCTGAATTTTTCAATTTTTTAGTTTTCAAGTTTTCGATTCGTTGACTTTTCAATTTCTTGGTTTTTAATTTTCCAATTTATTGATGATTATAATTTTTCAATTCTGCAATTTATCGTTTTTTCAGTCATCAATTTTTCAAAATTTGAATTTCTAAATATTTTTATTTTTCGATTTTTGATTCCTCAGGTATTCGATTTTTCTATTTCTCCCTTTTTTTCAGTCTTTCGATTTCTGAATTTTTCAAGTTTAAAATTAAAATTTTCAGTGTTCAGATTTTTCAATGTTGCGTTTTGTTAATACTTATTTTGATTTTGCAAAGTTCGGTTGTTTAATTATTGATTTTTAATTTTTAATTTTCCAATTTTTTGAAAATTCTTTTCGATTTTTCGGTTTTTTAATGTTTCATTTTTTCATTTTTCGTTTTTCTGATTTTCTGATTTTTCAATTATCCGATTTCACAATTTCTTTAAAGAATTGAAAAAAGTTTTAACTTTTTTTCGATTTTTCAGATCCTCAATCTTTTATTTATTTATCAATTTATTTATTTTCAAATTTTGAATTTCTAAATATTTTTATTTTTCGATTTTTTAATTTCTCTATTTTTTTTTAATTTTTAGATTTTCCAATTATCCGATTTTTCAGTTTCTGTATTATTTCAATTTTTCAATTTCTCTAGTTTTTTTTATTTTTCGATTTCTCACTTTTTCAATTTTAAACTTTAAGATTTTTCAATTATGCCATGTTTCAGTTTCTCTATTATTTCAATTTTCCGGTTTTTCAATTTTTGAATTTTTCGATTTTTCTGTTTTTAATTTTTCAATTTTTTCAGTTTTACGGCTTATCGATTTTCCAATTACTAGTTTTTTAAATTTTCAATTTTTAGTTTTCGAATTTTTTGAAAATTCTTTTCGATTTTTCGATTTCTTGATGCTTAATTTTTCAATTCTTCGATGTGTCAATGTTGCAATTTTTCGTTTTTCTGATTTGCTGATTTTTCAGTTTTTGATTTTTCGATTATCCGGTTTTAGATTTCTCTGTTTTTTCGAACTTTGTATTTTTCAATTTTTTTCGATTTTTCAGTTCTCTGATTTATTATTGTTGGATTTTTCAACTTTAAATTTTTCAATCTTTCAGCTTTCAAGTTTTCGATTCGTTGAATTTTCAATTTCTCGGTTTTTAATTTTCCAATTTGTTCATGATTATAATTTTTCAATTTTGCAATTTATCATTTTTTCAGTTCAGTTTTTCAAATTTTGAATTTCTAAATATTTTCATTTTTTGACTTTTGATTTCTCAGGTGTCCGAGTTTTCTATTTCTCTATTTTTCAGTGTTTAGATTTTTCAATGTTTCGTTTTGTTAATATTTTTATTTTTAGATTTTTCAACTTGTCTTTTTTTTTAATTTTTCAATTTTTTAATTTTTCAATTTTACGAGTTGTCGATTTTCCTATTTCTAGATTTTTAAGTTTTCATATTTGCGATGTTGCAATGTTACAGTTTTTTTGATTTCCCAATTTTCCAATTTTTTCAAATTTTCGATTTTTAAACTTTTGTTTTTTCAGTTTTTGATGTTTCATGTTCTCAATGATTATTCAATTTGCGGATTTTTAATTTTTCGATTTTTCGATTTTTCAGTTTTGAATTCTTCTATGACTATGATATATTTTAAAATTCGTCTTTTAAATTTTTTAGAAGCGAAGATAAAAATTAAATCACTAATAAAAGAAATCTCTGGTTGGCTGTGACAAGTGTCCCCACCTATCGTCCAAACATCAACTTGACACTCCAGCATGGCCAATCTCCAACGAAAAAACTAAAATCCCTGACGTCAAGTTAAAGTATGTTCGATGACCCCTCCACATCTGCGCCAATCACCAGAACTGTCCTCTCCTCATTATAAAAAAAATAATCACCCACATTAAAATCCTAATCAAAATTCCTCTCCCAAATCGCAGTTCGTCCTTGACTAAATCACAGTCATCCAATCACCAAATCACCCCACCAAAAGTCCCTAGTCATGTCATGATTGTAATCGAGTGAGGCGTTTTTGAAATCATGTCACAAGACGAATCCCTCGGTTTAATCACAAAATTAAGTGTTTCTCTGGGCACTTCGGAGCCCGCTTTGCGCCTCCTCCTCACAATCCTCGCCGGTAAGTCGCCCCCCGAAAGGTCAACAAAGGCCTAACCTCAAACCTTCAACCGCTATCAAGACGCAGAAATCGCTCGAGATAAATGAAAGTGCGTGTGTTTGTGGCTTGGAGCGGCTACGTGGCCTTTGGACGACACATCGCATGATTATTGATTACCCATTTACGAATTTGAATATTTAATAACTCGTATTTGTAGGTTATCCCCTCGCCGGGGTGCATCGGTTTTGTGTCTACGGAAAGCCTGCTCTGGTCCAGCATGGGTTTTCCATACTGGCGGGGTTTGCCTTGGGGTACTGGAACTATGGCTGGGATATGCTGCACACAGTGTTCGCCATAGGGGTGACCTATGGGCTTCTGCTGGTTCTGGGAGGAACGGCCATCAGTGTGGGGCTGGTGTTCGTATTTAATTTGACGTATCTTCTGCTAGGTAATACGATTTTTCAATCACGGGAAATTATTTATTTCAAGGACTATTTTAAGTTGCAAAAAGTAACCGAGTTGTCATGTACATACAATTACCATAGTTGACTTCAATTACTGTTCAAGAACTAATTTTAGCGTGTGCGTGGGTCTTTGCCTACCAATTTGAAAATTTCAATGACTTGAGGTTAATCAATTGTCAATTTAAAGCGATTGTTATAAATTTAAGTATACTTAAACTTAATTGCCAATATGCTCCATTTCATATGATTTTATTACTAGTCACGCACTTAGAACAAGATTTACTTGTGTATTTGTATTGTATATTTTTAAAGACGTTTTAATTTTTAGTAGTTGGTAATTTTATGTTGCTACTGATAACACTGTTTTTGTTTACATGCCTTTTTTATCTAACTGATTTATTACTTCAATTCATTTGGACATCGGCGACACATCAAAATTATTCTAATTAGTGTACACTGTTTGCTTAATTCGGGAATAAATTTGATTGCAAATTTAGCAAGGGTAACGTAGAATGTGAAATTTCTTTGGCGATTTTATTGATTACTGATTTCATTTCAATTTTACCAGATTAAATTCGCAAAATTAAATTATATTTGAGAAACTGGATTTGCTTTATTGGAATTCAAGGCTGAATAGCTTTAAACCAGTTTGTATATCGCTGAATAGATTTGAGTAACCAGTCTGATTGTCATTAAAATTCTGAATTTTATGTGTAATTTTGGTGCTAAATAATCCAAGTTGAATGACTACTTTAATCCATGTCAGAAATGTTAATTTGATTAAGTGTTTAGTGTCCTGAAGAGTTTGTATATTTTTTAATAATAATTTTGAATGATTTAGTGAGGTTATGTTGTACACTACGCATGCGCACCCATGTTGACCAATCACAACGAAGCATATTGGCGGCAGATTCAAACTGGTGCAAATTGGAATATTTTTGTTTTCATCGTATTCGTTTATATCAGAGCCATTTTTTTTTAATGGCACCGGTTTTTGAACTTTTAAAGATTCTTCAGGTTTTCGATTTTTCAGTTACGAAGATCGAAAACGCATGAGATTATTTCCAAAATCTCTAAATTTACAGTTTTTCAAAATTCCTTAAATTTGTAAAAAATATCGAGAAACTGAAAAAACGAAAAATCGAAAAAATAATTGATTTGTCAATTTTTCTATTTTTTTTAGTTTTCGATTTTTCGGTCTTAATTTTTCAGTTTACCAATTTTTATTTTTGTGGTTTTCAACTTTTGAATTTTTTGATTTTTCAATTTTTTCAATTTTATGATTTGTCGATTTTTCAGTCCTCGATTTTTAGTTTTTATTTTTGGATTTTTTAATTTTCCAATTTTCCGATTTTCAGTTCTCGATTTTTAGTTTTTATTTTTGTTTAATTTTCCAATTTTCCGATTTTTCAAATTTTGAATTTCTAAATATTTTTATTTCTTGGGTTTTCAGTTTTATGATTTCTTAATTTTTTTATTTTTTTAGTTTTAAATTTTTCGATTTTTCAATATTTGATTTTTCGGTTTTCCAAATTTCCAATTGTTCAATTATTTAAATTTTTCTATTTTTTTTTAGTTTTCGATTTTTCACTGTCTTGATTTTTCAGTTTACCAATTTTTATTTTTGTGATTTTCAACTTTTGAATTTTTTGATTTTTCAATTTTTTCAATTTTATGATTTGTTGATTTTTCAGTCCTCGATTTTTAGTTTTTATTTTTGGATTTTTTAATTTTCCAATTTTCCGATTTTTCAAAGTTTGAATTTCTAAATATTTTTATTTCTCTGTTTTTCAGTTTTATGATTTCTCAATTTTTTTTTATTTTTTTAGTTTTAAATTTTTCGATTTTTCAATATTTGATTTTTCGGTTTTTCAAATTTCCAATTGTTCAATTATTTAAATTTTTCTATTTTTTTTAGTTTTCGATTTTTCACTGTCTTGATTTTTCAGTTTACCAATTTTTATTTTTGTGATTTTCAACTTTTGAATTTTTTTATTTTTCAATTTTTTCAATTTTATGATTTGTTGATTTTTCAGTCCTCGATTTTTAGTTTTTATTTTTGGATTTTTTAATTTTCCAATTTTCCGATTTTCAGTCCTCGATTTTTAGTTTTTATTTTTGTTTAATTTTCCAATTTTCCGATTTTTCAAATTTTGAATTTCTAAATATTTTTATTTCTCGGGTCTTCAGTTTTATGATTTCTCATTTTTTTTATTTTTTCAGTTTTAAATTTTTCGATTTTTCAATATTTGATTTTTCGGTTATCCAAATTTCCAATTGTTCAATTATTTAAATTTTTCTATTTTTTTTAGTTTTCGATTTTTCACTGTCTTGATTTTTCAGTTTACCAATTTTTATTTTTGTGATTTTCAACTTTTGAATTTTTTGATTTTTCAATTTTTTCAATTTTATGATTTGTCGATTTTTCAGTCCTCGATTTTTAGTTTTTATTTTTGGATTTTTTAATTTCCAATTTTCCGATTTCCAGTCCTCGATTTTTAGTTTTTATTTTTGTTCAATTTTCCGATTTTCCGATTTTTCAAATTTTGAATTTCTAAATATTTTTATTTCTCGGGTTTTCAGTTTTATGATTTCTTAATTTTTTTATTTTTTCAGTTTTAAATTTTTCGATTTTTCAATATTTGATTTTTCGGTTATCCAAATTTCCAATTGTTCAATTATTTAAATTTTTCTATTTTTTCTAGTTTTCGATTTTTCACTGTCTTGATTTTTCAGTTTACCAATTTTTATTTTTGTGATTTTCAACTTTGAATTTTTTGATTTTTCAATTTTTTCAATTTTATGATTTGTTGATTTTTCAGTCCTCGATTTTTAGGTTTTATTTTTGGATTTTTTAATTTTCCAATTTTCCGATTTTCAGTCCTCGATTTTTAGTTTTTATTTTTGTTTAATTTTCCAATTTTCCGATTTTTCAATATTTGATTTTTCGGTTATCCAAATTTCCAAATGTTCAATCATTTAAATTTTTCTATTATTTTTAGTTTTCGATTTTTCTCTGTCTTGATTTTTCAGTTTACCAATTTTTATTTTTGTGATTTTTCAACTTTTGAATTTTTGTGATTTTCAACTTTTGAATTTTTTGATTTTTCAATTTTTTCAATTTTATGATTTGTCGATTTTTCAGTCCTCGATTTTTAGTTTTTATTTTTGGATCTTTTAATTTTCCAATTTTCCGATTTCCAGTCCTCGATTTTTAGTTTTTATTTTTGTTTAATTTTCCAATTTTCCGATTTTTCAAATTTTGAATTTCTAAATATTTTGATTTCTCGGGTTTTCAGTTTTATGATTTCTCAATTTTTTTATTTTTTCAGTTTTAAATTTTTCGATTTTTCAATATTTGATTTTTCGGTTATCCAAATTTCCAATTGTTCAATTATTTAAATTTTTCTATTTTTTTTTTAGTTTTCGATTTTTCACTGTCTTGATTTTTCAGTTTACCAATTTTTATTTTTGTGATTTTCAACTTTTGAATTTTTGTGATTTTCAACTTTTGAATTTTTTGATTTTTCAATTTTTTCAATTTTATGATTTGTTGATTTTTCAGTCCTCGATTTTTAGTTTTTATTTTTGGATTTTTTAATTTTCCAATTTTCCGATTTTCAGTCCTCGATTTTTAGTTTTTATTTTTGTTTAATTTTCCAATTTTCCGATTTTTCAAATTTTGAATTTCTAAATATTTTCATTTCTCGGGTTTTCAGTTTTATGATTTCTTAATTTTTTTATTTTTTCAGTTTTAAATTTTTCGATTTTTCAATATTTGATTTTTCGGTTATCCAAATTACCAATTGCTCTGTTATTTAAATTTTTCGATTTTTCGCAGTTTTGATTTTTCAGTTTCTCTGTTTGGATTTTTGGATTTTTCTATTTTTCAGTTCTCGATTTTTAGTTTTCCAATCTGTTCATGATGCAATGTTACAATTTTTCGATTTTACAATTTCTCATTTTTTCAATTTTTGGTTTTTCAATTTTGAGGTTTTTCGCATATTTAGTTTTACAATTTTTCAATTTTCAATTTCTCGATTTTTAATTTTTTAATTTTGCGATGTTTAAGTGTTGCAGTTTTTCTTTTTTTCGATTTTTCAGTTTTTCTACTTTTTCAGATTTTCGATTTTTCTACTTTTAAACTTTTCATATTTGATGTTTCTCTTTTTCAGTGTTTCGTTTTTTCAATTTTTCTCTCTTTTAATTATTCGATCTTTCAATTTCTCAATTTTTTTAAATTTTTCAATTGTTCACTGTTTTGATTTTTCAGTTTCCCGATTTTTCAAATTTTGAATTTCTAAATATTCTTATTTCTTTGTTTTTCAGTTTTTTGATTTCTGAATTTCTGTTTTTTCAATTTTTCAATTTTAAATTTTTCGAGTTTTCAATATTTGGTTTTTCGGTTATCAAAATTTTCGGTTGCTCTATTATTTAAATTTTTCAATTTTTCGCAGTTTTGATTTTTCAGATTCTCGGTTTTGATTTTTGGATTTTTTCACTTTTGAATTTTTCGATTTTTTGTTTTCAATTTTTGAATTTCATTAATTTTATGATGTGTCGATTTTTCAGTTCTCGATTTTTAGTTCTCCAATCTTTAATTTATTTTTAGTTTTTCAATTTGTAGTTTTTTCAATTTTTTTTTCGAATTTTCGATTTTTCAATCTTCCGATTATTCCGGTTTTCAATTTCTCTACATTTTTGGATTTTCAGTTTTTAATTTCTCGACTTCTTCATTTTTCGTTTCTAAATTTTAAATTTTTCCTGTTTGATGTTTCTCTTTTTCAGTTTAGTGTTTCAGTTTAATTTTTCAATGTATTTTTAGTTTATCGATTTCTAGTTTTCCAATTTTTGATTTTTCGAATTTTAATTTTTCAGTTTTTGATTTCTCAGTTATCCGATTTGATTTCTCCATTTTTTCACTGTTTAGATTTTTTAATGTTTCGTTTTGTTAATATTCCGATTTTTCGAATTTAGGTTGTTT